TACCCTAAACCCTAAGCCCTAAACCCTAGACCCTGAACCCTTCAGAGTTAAATTCTTTAGGCCACAAATTTGCCGGAGTTCAAGGAAACTTGGGGGGTTGGGCCTACAGTTTTACAGGTTATACCTATTAATCCAGGGGGTAGTTGCTGGAAAGCTGTAGGTACTTACAGAGTTTAAAGGAACTTGGGGGGTCAGGGTTTTATCAATTCGGGTTCTGCTCAGGGTTTAAGGACACCGGTTTCGGGATTACTGTTATTTTCCTCATCATCTGAAGATACTTTAGCCACTCAGCCTTTACTAGACCCTCCATACCCTTATATACCCACCCCATATACCCCTATGTGAACCCCATATTCCCTATCTAACCCGTAGAACAGTCCGGCGCAGCGAGCAGAATCTGACTTTTCACCGCCATCAAACCTGATGTTTGAAATCTATTTAGGTTCAGAGTTTCAGGGTTTAGGGTGTAGGGCTTAGGGTTTAAGGTTCAGGGTTTAGGGTTTGGGAACCGTGGGCTTCCAAGAATTCAGGGGTTCTTTTTTGGGGTTCCCCATGAAAAGCACATAGAACCTCAAGACGGGTTTATGGTGACCTGAATGTTCGGAAGAATCATATGGATGCCTCTCAAGATATGCCCCAGAAAAAACCCTAGCAGGAACTGTAATCCCCATACATTGTCAGGGCCTCCAAAATCCTGCCATTTTTCAAGGTTCAGGGACCGCAAGCCCTAAGCCCTAAACCCTGAAGCCTAAACTAAGACCCAGAGGATCCATATATACTACTATTAGGGAATTAGACCCCCAAATACCATACTACAGAAGGAATTATGGGTCCCAATTCCCTAATGGTTGTATATGTGGACCCTCTGGGGGAAGGCACCCTGGCACTTCCATAATGCAGCCTTCGTGGAAGTCTTCCACGGCTCGAAACACTTCGTCTTCCTGCCCCCTGGAGATTCTGCCATCGCTGACATAGAAGAGGCATAGGGATTGGGGTTTCGGGTTTAGGTTGGGTACTGCCCCCCCTCAGTAACAGTTGGATAATAACTATCATATGGTAATATATAGCCCTTAATCGGACTCCTAATATAGACTGTTACTGGGGGGGGGGGGCAGTACCCAAGGTTTAGGGATTTGGCTGTAGGGTTTAGGGTTTACCTTGATTCCCAAAGTAGGTAAGAAAATGGCCCCAAAACTGCTAGAAACAGCCCACAAGGCCATGATTTTTACATAGTTTTGAGGGTTCGGATAGGGATTTGGGCTTAGGGCCGAGGATGTAGAGTTTAGGGCTTCAAACTGGTGTATATGTATGCAGGGCCCATGAGTTTCCAGGTTATGTAGTCCTTGTTCAGCTTTTGGAGTATAGGGCTTTAAGTTTAGTTAGACCATAAATAAACCCAACCCCTTAACCCCACAACCCCTAAACCCTAGACCTTAAACCCCCAAACCCTACATCCTAAACCTTAAGTTTAGGTTGGGTACTGCCCCCACCCAGTAACAGTCTATATTAGGGGTCCCATTAAGGGCTATATACAGCCATATTGAGATGATTATCCAACTGTTACTGAGGGGGGGCCGTACCCAAAGTCTAGGATTTAGTGGGAGGAGGCCTTAGTCCCGTAAAGGATATGCAGTTCAATGCATCCATGTCGCAGTATCACTGGCATCTGGACCGCAGACCAGAAATGGAGACTAGGAAGCCACCTAGTACCCTTTTTGCCTTTTGTGGGATTCTGGGCCCCTAGACATTAAAAACCAATAAGAAAAATATTGGGCTACTAAACTACCATACTCCCCCAAACTAACATGGAAACCCATAGTACCCTTGTAGAGGGACTGTAGTCTTAACAGTGCCCTTTCTGGGTTTCCATGTTAGTTTCCGGGAGTGTAGACCCTCAGCTTGAAGCTGGGCTACCAAGGAGAGGACTGGCAAGCTGCGTAGCTTGCAAGAATGCTTGATCGAGTGACCGGACTGCTGTGGGAGTCCTTTTTTGGGTACTTGTAGGGTTTGGGTTTGGTGTAAAATTAGGAGTCCATCTTTGGGTGTCTCCATCCGTCACAAGGCTTATGGTACGTAATCTTTAGCAAACGGTGGCTTATATTGGGGCTGCCCATTCTGCTACCATGTGGGGTGTATGGGGCAGAAATACATGCCTGCCTGTAACCCCTAAGTACCTACAGCTTGCTAGCAGTTACCCCTTAATGAGTACCTGGGCCCCAAAAGTAGGTAAAATGATAGCCCAAAACCCTTACAACCAGCCTAAAAGGCCATTGTGTCACATACTTTTGGGGTTCAGGTAGGTATTACCCACAAAACTGTAGGTAAGTGGGATTACAGATAGGGCCCAAGGTCTGGAAGGGAACGAGTTGCTGGCTAAACTGCCCTTGACGGGCTCGTAGGGTCAGACGGGTGGCAGTCCGCATTTGTGTCTGTTGAAGGTTTGGGGTTTAGGATTTAGGGCTTAAGGTTTGGGGTTTAGAATTTATGGCTTACCCTAAGCATTTAAGGATTCATATTTGTAGGAATTTGGGCCCAAAGACCATACCATGTAAGGTTTTGTGGTGGTTTTGATGCTTAGGGTTTGGTTGTTAAGCTACCCTTCGGCCCCAGTGACTTAAATAATGGTTCTCAAACTCTTTAAAGGAGGTTATAGAAAGCATCATATAGGGAGTAGACCAAGGGGTGATGAAGGGGGATAGTACATGTTTAAACTATAGCTCATATCCTACAGTCACGTAGCCCAGTAGCCTACTATTTAGGAATGTGGGAGCCCCAGTCCTTGTACATTTCATCCCAAGTAGGCACAGTAGTCCAATCAGTCAAGACACACCAAACTAAAGCAGCAAAGCACCTAAACCCTAACCCCTAAACCCTAAGCCGTAAACCCTAAACCGCGTAGCTCACTCCTTGGACCGCATGGTTCTCATATCTAGGTTTTAGAGCAGCATCTCAACTTGGAGGTTCGTTTTGCTTCTAACCTACTTAGTAACTGTAGTTATAGGGGTTTATAGGGGATATATAGGGATTAGGGTTTTAGGGTTTTAGGGTTTATTGCTATAACCCCATTATATCTAGGGTAACTGTAGTTATGGGATTTACAATTGGGTTATAACTACAGTTACTAAGTAGGTTATAAGTACAATGAACCTCCAAGAAGTGAAAGCTCTTCCTCTCTCTCCATGATCCTGTGGGCATCCACATAGATTCCCCCCAGCTAGCAAAGAGAACCCTGAATCCTGGACCCCAAACC